ACCCACCACACCTCTGCCCAATACCCCAGTTCTGTAAGCATAAATAAATAAATCTTTAAGAAAAAAAATATTTCATTTACCAATCTCAAGCAAATTAAATTCAATTTAACTTTTTGTTTGTTTTTTACCTTTGTGATAACAAATATGTAGACTCTTCCTTCCTCTTTCTTTAGGTCATTCATGTACATTGGTGCACCTACCAAGAGCACATCCGTAATGGCGTCTTTATCCACATCAACTGAACACAGCACACTCCCAAAATAGGACCCAATCTGGTGTAACAAAGCACATTAACCTTAGGATTCCTGGGATTCACATATCCCTAATATTATGCTGACATTTTATGTGCTTATTCAATAAAGAAAAACTGAGTGTTTATTACCAACAAGGTGCTGGGCACACAAACATGGATAATAGGCTTGTCTCTTCTCTCGTAGGGTGTATCATCATAGAAGGTTGGGTTTTTACACCTAAGTGTACACAAAAATCACCAGGAGAGTATCTTTAAATACAGACTCCTAAGACCCATTTCCAGAGTCTGATGGAACTTCTAGAGTGTGATCCAGGAAACAATATTTTAAATAAGCAGCCCAGGTATCTCCAATGCTGATCTAAGGGAAATACTCAGGCCTATGAGCTGCTTTATAGAAAAAAGAAAGAGGAGAAGAAGGAAGTAAAGCAAGTAATGGAGCTTCCATGGTACATATATTTTAAATTATATAACTAGAGGCAAGTACACATGCTATGTAATAAGAGTACAGGACAGTCAGGGAGACTGAGGCAGGTCAAGTATTATTTCCATTGCATCTAAAAAGAGCACAAGGGGGCTTTCCCTGGTGGCGCAATGGGGTAGGACACAGCACTGCAAGCACTGATTGCTGCTGCTTCAGTGAGAGTTCAAGCTCTGGCTCTGGAGTGACCCACATGGCGCAGCAGACTTCTCCTGTCTCACCCTCTGCTTCCCTCAGCAGTGTATTTCATCAAACTGCCTGTTCTGCTCCCCACTCTGTCCCTGGTGAATCCTCTCATTGCCCTGTATCTCTGGGATGAAACCCAGTTCCGTATGCATAAATAAGTAAATCTTAAAGAAAAAAAAAAAGTCACAACCATCGTGAACTGATAATTTATCTATTAAGGGCATATTTTTAAAAAAAAAAAGTACAAGGGGTTTGCAGTTGGAGAGGAGTGGGAAGCATGTCTGCTGGCATGATCTGCAACAGGGGAGTAGTGCTGAATGGACTGGAGGGGCGGACAAATTGGACAGAACATGGAACAAGACAGGCGGGAATTTGAATGTTCATCCTACTGCAACCCACTACCAATGTGTGCTTGGAAATGAATAGGAAATGATTCCTTGCATACACTTCCATTGTTTTCTCTCAAAATAAAAATACCCTTCTTCAAGAGGACAGAAATGTATGTAAACACAGATGGTTTGTGGTCAAGGAAGTAAAAGACTCTGGTCATCTTATTTCTTGAAAATCCATAGAGACAGTGGGATCAGACTTACTTCCAGAGAAGAGAAATTTGTGGGGAGTAGGTTTCTCTGACTCAATGAAGAAAAATGTTTGTGGATGGCCATGGATGCTAAGTTTAAATATATGCCAGGCCCATAGGTCAGAACTGCCTAGTCAGGAAATAGGACTCTAGCACCTGACTTCTAGAATCTGTCAGCTTTGCTCTAGTGACCAGGACCAGCAGTCATCACAGCAGGTCTGACTACCAACTACCTTATAGTAGTAGAAGATGGGAGCGAACAGAGCTGACATATTTTTAGAATCATCAAAGCCACAGCTCACCTTGACAGGCCCAGATGCAGCAGCTCAGCCTATAAGGCTACACTAGTCCCTTCTTATATATTTTTTTTAGATACTTAACTCCTGGTGGGAGTTTGCCTACAAAGCAGTGGTTTGGTGTCCACCCTCACTGCTAGGAAATGCACACGTTCCTACTCCAGGGAGTCAAAATGGAGAGGATGTACCCAAACAACACAGGTTTTGGGGTCACATGGAATCAGGTTTTAGTGATAGTTCAACCCCATGAAACTTAAGTGACCTTAAGAAGGTGGTTCTACTCTCAAAAACCTGTCAAAAGGGATGGTTGGGCTCAGCATAGTGAAGATGTAAGACATATTCAAGTAAATGTAGCTTAAAGAACCAGCTCCAAAACATGCACTCAATCTATGGTAGTTTCCTTTTCTACCAACCCCTAGTCCCCACCACTCCAACTGTCCTTAAGATTCACTTCACCTTCTAAACAATGGAATTTACCTGTTCACCTCTGTGAGACTGAATAATTGTGACATTGCCATTCTTATTGACACTGTAATGCACTATCTGGCCAGTGTAATTTGCTCGAGGTGCACCAGCAACAAAGTGGACTCCGTTTTTAGTAGAAATTGCAGCCACAGAGTAACCTAGGAGAAAAGAAGTCACAGAGTGGGTACTATCGAATATCCTGGCAGATGTGTGCAAAGCGAGTACAGGTGATCAGAAGTCCTTTATTTGTCAGGTATGATATGCATTTCCTGCTGCTCCTAGGCTGATCACAGAGGGCATATCTTCAAAAATGAGCTGCTTCTGCCCATTGGCATCACTGCCCTGCATAGGTAAACTATCACCTATAAAAATGAATCTAGATTCTAGCTGTTCTTATCAACTGCCCACAAACCAATTACCCAACAAATATCTCTAGAGTCGATGACTGAATGCATTTGCAAGGCAATGCTGTCCAGTGTGGGAACACAGGGCTTGGAGTCAGAAAGTTCAAATTCTGGAACGGACACTAAGGTGTTTAGGCATTAACTTCACTGGTGCTGAAAGCTAAAATGGGGATAATAATAATTTTTCATGAAAGGGTTGTTGGAAAGATGAAACTGTTCATGTAGATAGAATAGCCAATTCTATAACAGTCTCATGTAGGTGCTCAAACTCAAGAGGCTGCTTACCATAGGGAAAAATAGAACTGTGAGGTAACATAGGACTATAGGCTCACCAGCTTGGCAGTTAGGGACTATTTCTAAATAATCTTGGAGAAATACCATCGTGTCCACTTGCAGAGCCAGAACAGTTTAGCAAATACAATGCATCTTCATATTAAGCAGTTATGACCGAGGCTTGACTAACAGAGGCAATGTATACACACATAATAAGTATAATAATTTAATAACAGTTCTCTGGACTTGCTGAACTGACCTTGAGATTCAACCAGAGACTGGCTGGTTTAAACAGAAGGAACTGAAGTTGCTGACTGAAATGTTATGCCTTACCTAAATATGAGCTGTGATTTCTATCTTGCAGAATTTGGTCAAAGGCTTGTTTAGGAAAGATCAATTGTCCATGAGTTGTCTTCTGGACAACAGTCCCACTCCAGGTATATGCTCCAACTGCACCCAGCATTAGAATGTTCTAAGACAATTGAAAACAGAAGATCATTAAAACGAATCACTTCTAAGGCATATTGTAGTGTAGGCAAAACATTGAAATAACTGGTCCAGATTTAAGAAAAACAAATGTGATAAAGTGGCATGTTTATACATGACAGTAAATTATCAGAAATTTTTTAATATAGTTGGATAAGAAAACCAGCTTTACCTATGGTGAGTTACTCTTGACTTTAATTAGTTTGACTACAGGCTTACAGTCTTAGCTGTTAGGAACTATTTCTAAATAATCTAGGAGAAACACTAATCATTTCCATTTATGGAGCCAGGAGAGCTTAGCAAATATAATGTATTACATAGACAAGTATATAATATACTATACTGCAGGGCAACACAGGGCTATCTTCAAATTTCCATTAAAAGCTACAAAATCACAAATGCTGAATAGTTGTGAGTCCTTGGAAAGAAGTCAGAAGTGACCATCTAGTTCCAGAGATTCGCAAGAAAAGGTCAAAGTAGAATATGAGGCATGCTTGAAAAACAGGAAGTGGGATGTCCAGGAAGAGAGGGGAACTGCCACTATCAGACACGTCTTGGGAGGGTCTCGTGATCTACTCTATATTCAACTTTCTTCTACCTCCTTCTCTAATGTTCCTTTAACATTTATAGGCTACCTTTTTGCTCTGAAGATAGCACAGCTATAAAAGACACCTGTAGCTGACATTCACTCTCTGGGAAGGTACTCAGCACTAGTCAGCAGGTTATTGGGAATGGACTCAAACACAAACTGCATTTTCAAGCTATAACTCATCACTGAAGAGATCAGTCAGGGTAGGATTTAACATTTTAATCTTAGATCTTAGAGAACACTAAAGATACCATTTGGGTCACTGAAAACCACAAATCATTGGGGAAAAAAAAAAAAGGAGATAGAGAAGTGAAATGTCCTATGGTGAAGCTAAGAGATGATGTGAATGATTAGCAAAATGATAATATGGGATTCCAAACATGAGATGCTCAAAGAGGCTTCAGGGAGCATATTAGGACTTCAGAAAATTATGTACAAATTTCTGTTTGTTCATTTACTCCCCCCCCCCCAGAGGGAAGTACCTATAACTTTTATGAGCATTGCTAGTGACCGGTGTTTCAGAAAAAGTTGGCATCTTTTGTTCTAGAGAAACGATAAGCTGATCCTGGTTCTTTACTGATCAAGCTCTCTGAGTTAATAATGTTCCCTAAATCTTTCCCAGAGTCACTTATCTCTTCACCCCTTTTGCTAGTCCATTTCTATTCTTAGTAGACTAAGAATCAGCAGATGGATATTTCTGAGAAAGAAAAACAGACTTCTCTGAGCTAAGACTATTCATATCATATTTCCCCCAAAATCCTTTTTCAGCTATTTTCTTTCTCTGCTCTTAGAAAAGAGAGACTATGGCAACTCAGCAATAGCAAAAGTTGGTGTTTTTAACAAACTTTCCAGTCTGACTTAAAGGAAATTCCTGCAGTGATAACCTGGAGTGAATATAGTGCTTGTCCTCAAGAACTTTGTGTATTATTATTAGTTTCCCATAGAAAACCCCTGTGAAACAGGGAGGTGGTGTTCATGTTTTAAATGAAAATCAGTAGCCCAATGAAACTAAATTAATGTGTATAAGAACCAGAACTTTCAATAACTTGCTAGCTGTTTTCCCCACTTTATAAGGCTGCAGTCCCCAGCAGTGTGAAGCCAGTTTCAGTGAGGCTGGAATTATCTGAAATACACACATTTTGAGGAGAGTAATCTGCACTGAATCCCACTTGTGACATTTCCATCTGGAAGTTGTCTCCCCCTTGAACAGTGCCTGGGAGAGAGCAGTTAAAAAAAAATGTGTTAGTCATCAATTTTTAAATCAAATTTTCAAACATGCACTTACATACACACTGCTCTGATGTTCACTAAAAATACAGAGCTGGCAAATTATAGGAAGGAGAAATCACTAAAGAAGTGTCCTAACAGATATAAAAATCCACAATACTTCCCAAATAGTGCTTGAAGTTGGCTTGAGTCTAAATTAAGCACTCATTTATTTATTGGTATGTCACAAGACTTCTGATACCAGAGAACACTACATACCTGGGAATTAACTACAAGTAACTGAATGCTTAGCATTTAAATGTTAGTTTTAATGCATACACACATACCACAGATGCAGCTTGCAATTGATTAGCTTGGGAAGAGCCAATTAAGTGAGCTGTCACGAAACTTTGCTCAACAGATACTTGGGTCAAACTTCAGAAACTAGGACTTATGCTCAAGTTGGAATATTACCCATTGGGAAGTTTGTCCTAGTTCTACATATGGGCCTCTGACATGAGTCCCATAAGACTCAGTGAGTATTCATTTTCCATTCAGTGTGGTCTGTTCCACTTATCTTCATAAAAAGGAAGTTAAAGTCCTAGACTGCCATTTTAAGATAGAGAACAGACTAAATTGCAAGGCACAATTACTTCATTAAAAGAAATGATCATTGCACAGGATAAGCAGGGGGCCATAGCCCCCTCTCCCCACCAAGTACCTAATAGCACAAAATACACAAAATTATAACGAATTATCTTTTGGATTATATCATGGTTATTCATATCCATGTCAACACAATAAAATTATTACCATAGGTAGCCAGATCATTTGTATTATATCAGGGAACATTAGATTTTGATGATTTAAACAATTCAGAAGAACCAAAGGATGTCTAAGAAGCAATAAAACATTGATTGGATAGAACTTTCTAGCGGATAATTAGGAGGTAAATATTTGAGTATAATAATTTTCCGAGTTCTCTTGGACATAGCTTCTGAAGCAGTGCATGATACATCAGAGGAGTTAAAAAAATATTTTTCATTATCAAGAATTCTTTGAGATAACTATCAGGAACCAGGATTTGGTGGATGTTTCACCAGTAAATGCTCCAGTCCTCAGGTGATGTTTTTAAATCAATTAAACCTGCTAGAGTCACATATGTAAATTATTATAGCTCTGGAAATGGTGTATTTCTAAAACTTCTACAATGCATTTTTCTAATCTTAATAGAACCTGTGTTTGTTGCAAAAAATGCAAAAATTTCATAAATTAAAAAAACTGTAAAAAGGCAAAAGCATTTATTTACAATTATTGTAGATGTTACTAAATCAGCCCCTAGAAAGTCTACAATTTGCAATCAAGGTAATAATGCTTTTGCTTCCCATAAGCTCTCTAAAATTAAATATTGTTTATCTTTGTTACATTTTAGGCAAAAAGTAATATTGACTTAATTGATATTTTAAAATAATTGCGAAATTGAGATCACTTTCTTATGTCCACTGGCTATTTGTATTTTATGAAATAAATGCTCATGTTGTCTACTTTCCTTAAAAATTAACAGTTCTTGGCCCTCCCTGGTGTTGCAAAGGGTTAGGATGCAGCACCGCAAGCTAGCACAGCTGCTTCAGTTGTTCAATCCCCTGCCTGGGAGGTGACCCACATGGCGTGGCAGACCTCTCCTGACCCACCCACTGCTCCCTTCAGCAGTGTACTTCATCGATTTGCCTGTTCTGCTCCCCACGCTCTCTGGTGAAGCCTCTCATTGCCCTTGCACCTCTGGCTTACCCCCCAGTTCTGTATGCACAAATAAAGAAATCTTTTTAAAAAATGAAGCATAGCAGTTGGCATGCTATCTAATATTTTTAAAAAAATTAACAATTCTCTTTAGACAAGATAGATAATTTAATCTTAAAAGAGTAAGTATGTGGCAACAAAGTCAAGAATTTTGAAAAAAATTTCAAAGGAGTTTTTTTTACCTTCAATGCTGAAAATTTGTTCTCCTAATGTTCCAGCCTTTTCAAGTAGAGCTGCTTCATCAGACACATTGAAAAAGTACCTCTCTGTTGGAATACTGGCAATTGCTTTGATTTCTTTTATTAAATTTTTAGTGTCAAGGGCATTTCTGTTTAAGTACCCAAGAACCTTGAAAATTGAGGAAAAAGGGAGAAAAGGTGATTGCTCCATATCCATTTTTACTACTAGTGCTTTCTAGTTTGTTCGAACATTTAAACACAATGTATTCTCTGGAGGAGTTGGCCAAGCAGCATCACCACAACCTCTTGACAGAACTGAAAGTTCACAAGATGTGGAGACACAGAAAACATTTTCTTTCATACAAAGCAATTAGCCACCAGTGGGAATGTGCAGTCTTGGAAAATAATGTTAAAAAGAACAATTTATCTATCAGCTGGAAGAAAAATGAAAAGTCACTTACTGCTATGCCAAACCTCAATATGTTGTCATCATTACATTGGTCAATCACGGTTCTCAACCATGAACCATCATGCGATTCTCCATCAGTTACCACCACCATTATCTTGGTGGCACCTCGCCGTCCACCAGCATCTGGTGCATACGCGAAATCTCTGTGGCAGAGAGAAATTGAGTCTCACTATCAAAAGATGAAGTAAACACACAAATCTCTAGTTAGAAATGTAAAGATGACATTAGCTTCTTTGAGAAAACCTGTTGTGACTTAGAATTTCTCCCCATGTCAGTTTTGGTGACATATTTAAGTACATTCTACCTGTGGCTTGTAGAGAAACATACAAAAATTTAAATCTTGCTTAGCATTATATATAATTTCCATGTATTCCATATTATAGCAGGAATCCTTAGAATTATCATCTGAAAAGAAAATTAAATTAATAATGAGTACTATTACTTACACTGAATATTACTACTACTTCTCCAACAAGTCAGCAGGGTAAAGATATTCCTGTCATAATTTTACTCACTGCCCATACATTTACTTTTTAATACTTATTTTTTTTTCAAAGTGATAGATATATGTTGTAAAATAAATTCATATGCTGGGTAAATAATTTAAAAACTGACACCAACTCATTGTTCCAAAAGGAACCACTGTTGCCAGTTAATGTTTTCTTCTAGAAAATGTTTCATCTAGATATATATGCACAGTATCCTAAAATATTTATACATGTATATTCTACAAAGTTGCTTTTCATTTTCATGTAGATCTTTCAGCATCAGCATGGAATACTGAATTGCAACCAAAGGCACTTGATAAAATAAGATGAATGGAAAACCAGTAATATGTACTGCAAGAGTGTTAGAATTCTACCTGATGTTGTAAGAAATAGATGAGGAAAATTCCCACTTTAAGAGATAAAGCATGCCAGGCCCTCAGGTCTCCTTCTAGGTGAGAATCACTATACCATCTTCCCTGCTGAAAAATGGCCCCCTAGAGTTTCTGATCCCTGGTGGGTCATTTTCATTTTAACTCACTATGGCCTAAATCTAGTTTATTGGAGCAAGAGGGTATTTAGTCTAATGGCAGGTGATCTACTTCCTAGTCAGCAGTCTGAATCTGGTTGATCCAAAGGAACATTTTAATAGGAACAGTAAAGTTTAACAAAACCAAATCCTGTCTTCTCTGGTAGGGAATTTACTTTTGAGATATATAAGGAAAGTCATCAGTTAATAGAAGTAGTAACTACAAAATATACCCAAAAAAGGGAGAAACAACTGGAATCAGAAATTCAGAAATAGAAGTGACAGGACGAGGCGGTTGACCACTGTGTGGTCTGCTAGGAGCAAAAAAGAATAAAGAAATTTAATCTAAATAACTAGGGGAATCAGCAGTAGCATGGATCAAAATGGCAAAGTCATTAGGAGGAGTAGGGAAAAGAAAAAATACAAGTATCATACAAAAAAATATGAAAGAAACAATATAAAACAATGTATTGAACTTGACATGTGAATCAACCACACCAAATATTCAGCATGAGCTGAATTTGGAAAGAATCATGGCTGACAACACAGCAGCTGGGTAACCCCCACAAAGCTGATGTCAATGCCATGAGCACGGAGAGAAAGGACCATAAAGAGAGAGAAAGGACTATAAAAAAAGAGTTCTGGTTACTGAAAAAGAAAATAGGAAAAGGAGCCTGTGAAGAGGCAAAGTTGTTGACAAAAACTTGGCAGGGATCCTAGAAGGGTGTAGTGTTGTGGCAACAGGGATGGAAATAGCAATGTGGCTCATAATCATCAAATGTTCAGTGAAGCTTAAGAGGATGAGGCTTGAGGTAGGACCACTGGGTCATTGGCTGACTAAAAACTATGCTTATGAGGGTGGAGATATACCTTTTAAGGAAGTGAGGGAGGGCGTGCAGATAATTCCTTCAAGGAATTATGACAATGAAGGGGAGGAGTACAGAAAACAAAAAGGACAGGAGGTAGATTTAAGGGAAGGTGAATTTATTGTTGTAATTATTTTTTTAAGAATAGAAGAGAGTGTGTAGCACTTACGTTAAGCATCTCCTGATAGTTAAAAGGTGCAGATAGGAGTGAATTGTATAAAAAATTGCATAAGCCATTAAAAAATAAAATAAAAGTATGCAGATAAAGCACAGCAGTGCTGAGAAAATTGAGAAATTGAACTAACAATTATGAGGCTTTGGCAGGTCAATTTCTAGTTCATTCACACACAGTGCAATATCAAATTGCTCAGTTCAATTCAGACTCCATTCACAAAAATTTCAGTGTTCAGTCCTTTACTTGCATGAATTTCTCCATCACTTCAAGTTGTCTGTGGCCTTGATAAATAGTAACAAATAATTGTAGAGATCTCACTTCTACTTACACCAATGATGGTGCACAAATAGCCACCCCAAGGTTCTGAGAACTGGACTCAAGTAGACCTTCTCTGGCATGCACAGTACTCTGGGCTAAGACAACACGGAAATCCCTTGAGGTGGAGGGAATGCTTGCCCAAGTCCTTTATGCTCCCTAATTAGAGAAGAGATCATCATGTTCTAAACATATGCCCTTTCCCTAATTGGAAAAGCAATTCTCTTTCTATGTCCTGGAAGAATGTAGTTTGGGAGGGGCTCATCCAATTTAGGTTTATCAGTAATTGTTTCCTTTCTGTGAAGCTCATCTTCACTCTCAGTGTAAGGATAGGGTAACTCCATCTTACCTGTCTTGTAAAATCCCCAACCCCGGCCATCTCCTTGACATCCTAAGTCCCAAAATACAGACTAAATATTACTGTTCTACTCTACTATTTCTTAGAAGTTTTCCCTACACATATTATTACATTTTGGACTTTTCTTCTATTAATCTGTCTGATAACATATTCATTCATCCAGTCGTTGAAGTACCAAGATGGGATGGGGAAATTCTCTCTTGTGCCATTGGTCTTTTTACATTTGTTTCATATAAAAATCTTTAAAAATTATGTATATTTCACAAAAGTCTTAGAAAGCTAAGATATAAAACTTAGATTCTTCACTGCCTTCTTAAAGTGCTCAAGTTACACAGTGTTCTAACTTTTCTTATTTTATTAATGGTAGAAGTTATTTTTCTTTTTAAGATTTATTTATTTATGCACACAAGAACTGGGGTGTAGGCCAGAGGAGCAGGGGTTGAGAGGATTCATCAGAGACATAGTAGGGAGCAGAACAGGTGGATCTACTGAAACACACCGGTGAGGGGAGCAGTGGGTAGGTCAGTAGAGGTCTGCCATGTGGCTCACCTCCTTGCCGGGGGATCAAACTTGCGCTGCAGTGATTTCAGACATCTTCATAGCACCTTAACCTGCTGTACCACCAGGGCAAGCCCCCCAGCTATTTTATTTTATTTTTTCTCTTTTTCCTTTTTCATACTATTAAAAAAATTGCATTTTATCAAAATTTTGGTCCTTTTGCAACGTAGCTTACCTTGCATATTGAATTGCTTTAAATGTATTTGTGAGGTCACCACCATGTTGATATGTCTGTTTTGTTGCTTTAATCATTTCAGCTTTGGTTTTGAAAGTGTTCAGGTTAAACACAACTCTTGCATTATTAGCATATTGAATTAATCCCACCTGCAAAAGAACAAAAGTTTATTAAAGTATTGTTACTGTTATAAATCATTTCTATTTAGTTATTATAATAAAAATAAAAAGGGCAATAAATGAGCTGATAGCTTAGGGAATCAATTTCAATTCTGCTATTGTGAATTATTTTTGATCTAATGGAATGTCTTCTTTGTGAGAGGACATCGGAGTGCAGCAGTGGTACCTGTGGCTCTGCAAGATGATAGGCAGCATGCATGATTTGGTATACAAAGATCCTATAATACTTTAATATCAATATCAGTATGTGTGTATATATATATATATATATACACAGTCCTATAATACTTTAATATCTATATTAGAATGAAGTTCATAATGGGAATATTAAGATGCCACAAGATGGATAAAATATATTATCAGTTAAGGATAATTATATAATAAACTAGTAGAGTTGAATATAAGAAAAAAATAACATGTAAATTGATGTGGTCGATTTGGATGTATTTATTATCCTGGAGTTGCTTTAATCACAGACTTTGGCATCTCTGGAGGTAAACAGATATAAGTACATGATGTTCTGACCTCCAGAGAAAATGACATTAGAGAGCCGTATTTAGCAGAATTGAGATATGGGGCAATTTCTGAGCAAGATGTTCAGGAACATTCTCTAATCTTTTAGATAAAGAAAGTGACACATTTCCGTTAAAATCATCTTTGCTACCTAGGAGTTGGTGCTTCCAGAACAAGAAGAGGCAGTAACACATGAATGATAAGAGTCTTTGAAATAGAAATTCAGATGTCATGAAGTGGAAGAACAAGGCCTGGATTCCTAAATTCACTTAGCTACATTTGCTAGAAAGGTAGTTAACTAGGTACAGGAAAGATGATGAAAAATATGAATCATTTGACCTCTCATTTGGACTGGAATACTTGCGAGATAGAAAAGGATATTTCTTAGTTACTTAACTGAGTATTTCAAAATCTATTCTGATAAGAAGAGAGGAATCACTCCCATGACACAGATTGAAACTCCTGGATGAGAACGGGGCAGGCTGATTAGAAGATTTTAAAGAAATATGATTGATTAGGATTTATAGAAAGGTTAAATTTAGAATACAGGAAGAGAATGAGTAAAACCTCATCTACTAATGAATAACATGGATTAAGGTAGGAAGATAAGAAAAGGAAGGTCATCGATTCTATATGAGAGATTATTAGGAACGATAAGTCACATGGGGCCAAAAGCAGATAAATATGAGAACTTCTCCTATAAGGGACAGTAACACACTGATGCTATCTAGAAACTAATCTATTAGAAACAGGGTCTTATTAGAAATTTCTAGTAAAAACTCACAGTGAAACATGCAAAATTTCAGTGGGTGTTAAAGCACTTTTGCTATTGAGAAGCAATGTCAATGGGGAAAATGTGTAATAATATTTTATGTTCCTATACAGGAAATCAAAAAAGTAAATTTTACTATGTATCATCATAAACCATTTAGGAGAAAATGTTCCAAAAATTTTTGCTACATGATGAACCCTGGAACATCAGATGCAAGATATGCACAAGGAAATTCATGAACTAATCCCTTTTGATACTAGTTTTATGTAATGCTACAGAATGACTCATGCAATGACAGACCAATGAGGAAGAGACAAAAAAGTTAGATTTCAAAAATAAATACTACTCAGTTTTAGGGATGCATAAAGCTACTGCTTCTGAGTTTTGTTTGCCTTCTTTAAGGAGATAGAAAAGCAAATTTAACACTCCTTAAAACAGAGAGTCACAAAAATTATTGAAAGGACGTGTCATATGTAAAAAAAGGAAGACTAGACCAGAATATGAAAAGACTTTAAAATAATGGAAGAATTATGTTCTCTGAAAACTAATTAATTAAAATCCCAGAACTCAAGGATAATTGTTTTTATCAGCTCAGAGTAAACAAAAGTTCATTATTAGTACAAGTGGATACAAAGAAAATATACATATTGAATTCTCAAATGTATTGATATATTCACAAGTTAAAAGAAGAAATAAATAGGCAGCAAAAGAGGATTAAAATTAATATTACTATTAATTATATTAATTAATAAAATTAATATTCCATGTCTGATATAGACGTCAGAAAAAGAAATCTACTTTCAGAGGTCAGCGTTGGACAGTCTAGATCGCATAACATCATGTAGTTCGAGTTTCTCTTAACTTTCAAAGTTACCATCAAATGCCCTTAAAATAACAACTGACAAATGCAAAAATTAGTACCTTAAGCCTAACAATATTTTCTAATAAAGAAAGCCATGGGTTTCATTGATGTCCTACCTGTGTTTTGGTGGGGCCTATATCGAGGCTGGTTACAAATTTTTCCAAAAAATTCTTTACTGCATCCCAGGGATAAATACTGTTTGATTCATCACACACAACCACAACATCTATGAGGGAAGGGCAGGCTACGAAGGGGGGAAAAAGGAAGAGACAGATGTCCACAGGTAAGTCAAACTTCACACTCATGTAAAAATGAGACATCAAATAAAGGAGTAGCACATGTGGACAAATTTCCCCCCATCCTTTCATATAAGATGTTGCTCAGACCCTCTGCATATTAATAACTTACTCTGAACTGCAGGTGAGAAGCTGGCCAGGAGCTGGAAGTCCGGACTCACGTCCGAACAAACACCAGTTGTGTAGTACTGACTTCCACACTGCTGGGCCCACAGGGGACCACAAGTCTTCAAAGAAATGAGAACAGTCACAAAACACATGGAGAATGTCAACCTCTGCCTCGGTAGCTGTGAAACTAAGACATTACCTCTATCCATTTCAAGGTACAGGAAACTTCCACTCCTTGAAAGTTTACATTTCACTGCTTTACTTTTATGAAAGTATCTACATTCGTATCTAATGTAGTACAGAAGGAAATGTGATGAGGCTTTTCACTTCTATGACAAAGAAGACAGTGTCCAGCATGTGTTGTAAAATAGCCCTAGAGGCAGCACCTGCCCTATACAGCAGGAGTGTCACTGTGAAGTTCCTTCCAGAAGTGTTTGTGCTGGTGTGTGTGGATCATGCTATTTTTACTCTTTATATATATTAGCATGACTTTAGATCTTACGTGTAATTTGGTATGAGTAAGAAGGTTTTTTTTTTTCTGGGTCTGAAAATGCTCAATAACTTTTCCATATGAATGAATGGCAACAGATTCTTCTATTTACCCCATTTTGGCTTACAAAATGTTTCATAAGGATTACTACTTTCAGAAACCGAGGAAACCAGTGCTAGAAATGGTCACTTCTTGAAATGAACAAATCAGAGATGACTTTGAGTGAAAGGGTCCTGGAGTCAACAAGTTGGGGGCGTGGCAGTGTCTTGAAGATTCACTAAAGCTGTCAATGTCAGCTGTCAGTCTCAGGGAGGAGACCATCAGTTCTGCTACTGAGCTAGAGAAAAGGGGTGTTTTCCACAAAGACAACACCTGGGAGGAAAATGAATGCAAAGTTCATTCTTTGTCTCTTAGTTACTTGGGTCCCTGGTGCTTCATCTACAAAATGAAAATAAGCATACCTTTCTCTCTCCCTCTCTCTTTCTCTGTGTGTGTGTGTATTTTAATAATATAGTAGTTTTTTTTTACATAACTTTGTGCCTTTTCCATCTCAGTTGTAATCCCCGTGGGCTTTCCATCACCAAATCACCCGTGTGCCATCACCATAGTCCAGTGCACTTCCCTCCCACCACCGTTTTTGATCCCATTCCCCCTCCATCAAATGTCTCTGGTATATGGTTGTTCATGATTATTATTTTCTCACCTGGTCCTTCATACTCCTGTTATGAGTGAAACCATCCGGCATTTTTCCTTTTCTTTCTGGCTTATTTCACTAAGCATGATCTTTTCCAACTCCACCCATGTTGCTGCAATAGGCATTTTTTTGCTGGGGGGGCATACCTCTGCATTTCTTTTTTTTAAAGATTTATTTGTACATACAGAACTGGGGTACAGGCCAGAGGCTCAGGGGCGGTGAGAGGCTTCATCAGAGACAGAGTGGGGAGCAGAACAGGCAGATCAACGAAGTAAACTGCCGGTACCTCTGCATTTTTAAGGGTTGTTGTGAATACTGAATGAATCTATAGGTATTAGACATGTAGGACTATGCTGGCAACTGGTATATTACTAGCCGGCATCTTCAGTGTTATTATCCTTAAACATAGGTCAGTTCCTGTCTTTTCCTCTTACAGTATTCAGCAGAAAACAGAAGCCCACAAGTCCCTAAGGACATAAACAAGAAACTTAGGAGAGCACTTGAGCAGGTATTGACATCATGGCTACGGCCCCTGTATTATAGAGAGGGGCCCACTGAGGCTCACTGACTGGTATGAAATAGGCACCATGGTCTCCTACATTTTCAGGGAGAGTCAGAGAGGACAAATTTTCTGTGAAAATTCATGATTATAAAAACACGCTCTATGTGCTAAACAAACACAAATGAAGTTTATGAGCTGTCAGTTCTTAACTTGGCTATAAAGTATTTCCTTGAGGACTTCAGAATCCCTGATTTCCACTCCTAAGGCCTTCCATCATCCAAGTTGGCACTTGTCACCTTGTCCGCCTCATAGACATGCCAACTCTTAATATTTCCATTAGCCCAAACCTAAATCCCTCCCTTTCAGCAACTCTCAAATGCCAAGAACCATCGATTAAATCATACAGGAGCCACTAGATTAAATAATATTAAAACCACAAGATGTAAAGGGAGAAAAAAGGGAAAGAAAATTCTAGTCAAGATCTTAAAACACATCTACAAAGTTGGAAATTATGTAAAGCTGTGGATCAATTATTAAAATTGAACAGAGTAATGTGGCATTGCCAAAAAAAGCAATTGTAAGAATGAAAAGGAATTTATACTTGGCCCAGTTTAATTGTTAATAGCTCAAAGGAACAGCAGCTGCATGAACAAGCCACAGGTTTTGCTTCTATAAAGCTTGCTTATATGCCAATTAGGAGAAAATCATGATTGATACACCTTGCAAATAACAGATACTAATTATTCCTATATCACTATGCTGAAGCTGTTTTTTTTTGGGGGGGGGGCACCTTAAAAATAATAACTCATGGACTATTTAAGATTTTCTTTTTTTTTGCTTTAAAAGCAGTGGAAAACAACATTAAGAAGTTGAAATTAGAATTTGCCAATTGTTAATGCCAGAAATACATTCCTGCTTTAAAGCCCAGAACTTAAGTTTAAAAAAATGTGATGAATGTCAGTCTTTTCCACATAATACCAATAGAGTGTCTTAAAAATTTGACCTTTGAGGTATGTAAAGCAAACTTTGACTTTTTTGCTTTTTCTTTCACTCTTTCTCTCTTCCTCATTCTCATTTCCCTTTCTCCCTCTCAGCTTGCTACACTGTTAAACTAATCTCACAAGTTCTCTTGCAATTTCATTTTATTTTTAAGTGGTAGATTAAAAATTTATGAGGCACATTCTGTAGTCCCTATATCTCAGTGTGGTCCTCTTCTTGACTTTAGTCAACTTTAAAAACAAGCAAGCAAGAAAGTTGAAAGTGATCTTATAATAAAATCTTCAGAATATCAGAACCATTAAAATTCATGTGGACCTCCCTGGTGGTGAAAAGGGTTAAGTCTCAGCACTATGAAGGAGTCTGCAGCCACTGCAGCAAGAGCCCATTCCCCGGCCAGGAAGCTGACCCACAAACCACAGAAGACCTCTCTTCTCTGCACCTCACCCTCTGCTGCTCCCCTCAGCAGTGTATTTCAGTGGATCCACCTGTTCTGCTTCTCACCTATCTGGTGAATCCTCTCACCCTCCCATAACTCTCTGGCCTATACCCCAGCTCTTATATGCATAAATAAATAAATCTTAAAAAATATGCACTGTAGGGCCCTCCCTGGTGGCGCAGCAGGTTAAAGCACAGCACTGAGAAGCTAAAGCCACTTCCGCATGAGTTCGATTCCCGTTTGCCCCGGAGGTGACCACATGGCGTGGCAGACCTCTCCTGACCCGTCCGCTGGTCCCCTCAGCAGTGTATTTCATCGATCTGCCTGTTCTGTTCCCCACTCTGTCTCTGGTGAAGCCTCTCGCCACCCCTGAGCCTCTGGCCTGTACCCCAGTTCTGTATGAAAAAAAAAAATGCACTGTAACACTCATTTATACACTGATAACATGTACCAGTAGTACCTGATCTTAAGGGTACCAAAGTCTATCGGAACATCACTATTAGTAAAAACAAAATTACATTTTCAAAATGAATGACATTTTAGAATTCAGTAAGACAACAGAATAATCCACTAATAGTCTTTTTAAGTTAGCATGTCAATTGTATGGCTCTAATAATTAAAGTTGAAATATGCTTTATAAAATGATTTTAACAGTGATACAACTATAGAGTACACTTATATGAGCAACTGGAAGCATCAAGTAAATTGAGTTTTTTTCTACCCTTAAATTTTTGCTTCTTTTGGTTTGCAATGGCTTTCATTATTTAAAGTTTTTCAACAATTTTCTATATCATTTCTTCTGTTAATTCTAAATTCAGAAAAATTTCCCATTTTTTTCTAGTTACTTATGTTAGCTCTTTAGCTACTTGAAAATACATTTGTAAAGGAAAGTTATTAACCAATTAATTGTCCCCAGACCACTTGTGGAATAAGGCATTATATTTCACATTTTTTTTGTTTGTTTCATCATAGCATTCTAGAAACTAAATAAGAGTAAATACTAGCATGAAGTAAGATGAGAGATCAAGCCATGCCTTAAAAATATCACATTAACCAAAGACTTTAGGAAATGAGTAAAAGCAGAAATACTTTTTAGCTTTGAACCGCACTTATCTTGAATTTTTCTATAGGAAGGAGAAAAGAGGTCTCTAATTTAGTAATAGTTCAAATACTAAAAAACACTTTTCTAAGGCAAATAATTCATATTTCCTTTGCTTCCTCTTTTCCAGAACACTCTGTGGGAATTGTTTTACTGAAAGTATTAAGAAATCTACACAAGGGCCCTCCCAGGGTACAACAGGTTAGGACACAGTACTGCAAGCTGGCCATAGCCGCTTCAGTGCGAGTTCGATCCCCAGCCCCGGAGGTGACCGACATGGCACGACAGACCTCTTCTGACCCTCCCGCTGCTCCTCTACAAAGCAGTGTACTTTGTCGATCTGCCTGTTCTGCTCCCACCCTGTCTCTGGTGAAGTCTCTTACTGCCCCTGCACCTCTGGCTTATCCAGCTGGGACCCCAGCTCTATGTGAATAAATAAATAAATCTTAAAAAAAAAAAAAACTTCACACATAACAGATTTCATGTTGGATAATCACAATGCATGACTTATCCCAAAGCAAACACTAATATTTCAATTTCAAGCTTTGATTGGATCAGAGAGACAGTAAGACAACATTGATTTGGTACTCACAAGAAATCCTCCAGATCCCATGTTTCTGGTGAGTGTTAAGCCAAGGCTCATGTTGGTTTTCATCTCAGTCACATTGGGGATGCTCGTTGAAGCTTTCAAAGAGAAAAAGATTTGAAATGTGATTAATCTTCACCATTTATTTAAAATTATTAAGTTACACACTTGGGCTTATATGTATCTTGAACTTAGTGTGGCAAATGTAGGTGTTTGTGTTATGTATTAAAGTGTAGGGAAATGAGATGCTGCCAGTGACCCACCCAGCAGCTCATTTATATGTGGGAGGCTGCAGAATGCACAATGCTAGGGGTGTAGTCTGGAGAGTCACATGGGTAATTGCAACTTACTTTCTAAATTCAGTTTTTCACATGTCCCAGTGGATGGATTGATGGGACATTTATATACATCTCCCATTCGGTTTTCAGGAAAGCCACTCCAAGGTGAACCAACCAGTAACCTAGAAAGAGGATATGATATTCTTCATTAAATTTAAAAGACAAGCTGCAGTTTCTTAATGATAAAATAGAACACAAAATGGTAAAAAATAAAATTTATTTTCAAATTTTAATAAGTATATTATTTATATTTGTTTATCTATAACTTGATCTTTTTCCTTTCCTTTCAGCTGCTCAAGAACCTTAATGAATGTTTGCAATACAGCTTTCTTACCACAACACAGGACAGATTTCTCCAAGTAGTTCTTTTAAATAGAAATATTTAATATGGCCACCAGTGTGAGCCATCTATGTAATTTTAAATTTTCCTTTGTCACATTAATATGATAATACCAAAAGGTAAAATTAACTTTAATATTGTATTTAACTCATTATATCCATTCTACAATGCAATCAATATAAACATTCCTAAGGAACTGTTTGACACTCTTTTTCCATATCAAGTCTTTGCAATTCAGTGTATGTTTCAATATTTAGAGCATCGATATGGACAAGTAACACTTCAAGGGTTCAGTAGCCCTATGTGGCTAGTTGTTGCCATGCTGGTCTGTAAAGCTCTGAAGTGTGAAACAATATTCACTCCAAGGTGAATGAAAAACTATTTGTTGAGTGCTTTGCATTCCCTTAACATTTTCATAGGTTAAATTATTTAGATGAAGTATCTAAGTGGTTTTATGCCTATTTATGCAGGAGTCCTTAGCAAAGACACAGAGCAAACATACACTAGGCTTTGCTTATTTATAGTGCCAGAATACAGGATGCCGAGATCAAAACTCTGTGCTCATCCCCTCTCCTTGGTTAGTTTTGCTTCCTACACTGCTTCTCCCGCTAGAGTTTGTGTATTTCCTTGTAGAACCACTAGCCTGACATTTCTACCACAGAAGAATGGACAGAAAGAGTTCAGTCGATGGACAGATCTTTAGAAATTATAGCAGGTTTGATTCTGCGTTAGAAGCTCAGGAGTTCCCAGTTACTGAGGAAGCATATTTGTCGTTTTTCCTTGTCAAGTTGGGAAGAATTAGACTATTTATATATGAAACTTAAATTCCTTGGTGAGTGTCCGCTATAAAACCTGTATTTTTATGGACTGAACAATACAAGCCCTTACTCAGAGGAAATTAGGAAACGCATGCAGGCTCTGTACTAATAAAACTACCTTCTAGCTGCTTGATTTTTCTGTCTGTACAGGTTACAGGATTCCATAGTGGGACTATGTAGCATTACCATAGAATTTGTGTGCAGGACAAAGTTTAACACATAAGAAAGACATGAATTAGCTCTTGCTTGCATTTCCAAACCTGTGTTTTTCCATGTATCTTCCTCCATAGATCAGTCCTATGTTTTCTGCCCAGCAGACTTCTACTCATTAGGATGTCCCATTAGATACCCTAATCTAGCCTGGGCAAGCTGGCTTTCTTGAGTACTTTCACAACCTCTGAGCATTTCTTCTCTTCATTTTTAACACATTACCTGGCAACTGTCTTGCCTACTGATTTAATCCCACTTAGAGGGGAAATGTGAACATCCATGAGGTCTAGGAATTGTACCTATAAATATGCATAACTACTTGCATCAACAAATGAAGAAACACGTGAACAAGCAAATGAATGGACTATATATCATTATTGAAAAGAACTCAGTTGAGGGAAGGTATAATTTTTTTTTAATTCTTTTTTTTACTGAGAATTTTGTCCAAGTTAAAGAAATGAAAAAATAAAAAAGTTGAGAGAAAAGCATTGTTACTGTTTTGCCACCTATTTCAGATTCAGTCGCTACATATCTACATACATATTTCTTTTAAACAAAAGCTGACTATGTGGTCTCTATAGGAATCAAGACACAGACTTCTGGAAAGAAACTATTCTACAAAGTATGGTTTTGGCACTTGGTACACTGGCAATTCCTATTAATGACAACACACCTTAAAATAGCTGGCATTGTTTTCCAAACATTACTTAATTTAATGTTATGGAACAAGTCTGAGGTTATTTTACCTCCATTTCACAGACGGAACCACTGAGACACAAACCGGTGAGCAATTTACTCATTTTCAAGTACCTAATGAGAGTCAAATATAACTGATTCTGAAGCCCAGGTTCTTCATCCTTTGTCTGTCTCCTTCCTCTTAGCTGAAAAGGCCTGACATAGGAGGCACCATGGGGAAATTATCTGAACATTGGGTTGAGTTCCAGAATCATCAAAGATTAGAAAGAGAAACTGAGTATCAGTTACACCTTCTCGATGGGGATGTGGCTATGTGGTGTATAACAATGCTAGAGATAAAGGGACAGTAGCCACGGCACCTTATAAGACCACATCCTCAATGTGGTGCCTAAACTGTCCTTTTATAATTCAAGACCATGGTGCATTCAGGTTGGACCAAATATAGTAATTAGGATTTTTTTTTTTGGCTGTTCACATTTCTTAGCCACCCTCAACACAGTCTAAGAGGTACACTGAAGGACAAAAGTGATTCTTATCAAAAGTAATACCAGTTTCCCTGTTTCCTCAGGGAAAAGACTTAAAATGCAAGCTAGTATTTCCCATCAAGTAAGCATTTCTTGGGTTTCTCTCTCCAGCTGTTCTCAGATCAGGATCTGATAACTTCACAGCTTAGGGTGAGGGTGAATCGTTGACATCTCTACACCCACTGTGAGAGTTGTGGCCCTACAACATTCCTCAGACAGGATGAAGAAGAAGGCGGACACCGGCAGACTTGTGCCGCTAAAAAGAAGGACATATTTTGTTTCTAAGATTGATTTTTATTTATGTTCAGAAGAACTGGGATGTCAGCCAGAAGTGTGTGTGGGGGGAGGTTGGAGTTTGAGAGGATTCATCAGAGATAGAGTGAGGAGCAGAACAGGCAGACTGACTGAAAGACACTGCTGAAGGGAGCAGCAGGTGGGTCAGGAGAGGTCTGCTGCACCACATGGGTCAACTCCCTGGCCAGGAATTGGACTCGTGCAGTTGTAGCTAGCAAGAGCTTCAGAGTGCTGAGACTTAACCCCTGTACCACAAGGAGGCTAGTTATGAAAGTATTTGTCATTCTCTCAGGGAACATACCTAAATGTTAGGTAGTAGTTAGGCATATTACATTAACATAAGACTGGGAAGCCAGACCTCTTTGGTAACTGTCCTCATCACACTTGACTCATTCTTTAAATATTATGAATCACATTAGTAAGTAGCCTACAGGCCATGCTGGTCACTTCAGAGAAGGTTTCAAACACCATCTTCCACCTTCTTTATTGATGGTTCCAGTACGCTGCACTCCTCACTTGTACCTAAAACTTTCAGTGAAATTCTGGATCCTAATAACTCATCCTCATAAACAAAAGGCTATGGCATCATCTATGGCCACTGCAGGGGAAGTGTAACATTTGTAAACTAATCAGACAGGAAGGTGAGGGAGGCTGGTGTTTTTAATCTATGAACATTTATGTAAACATTTACGTAATCCACTATGGCAGGAAGAAGCATACCAGGAGAGAACGTTAGAAAGGTGAATAGCCTAGGCAGTGGGTAAGCCCTGCTGAAACACGGCAAAGCCTCTTTGAAGTAATGGATTTAATTTAATCACAACCAGACAAAGGAGCTGCATGAACAGTCGTGTGTGCTGATTCTCAAAACAAAACAAGAATTCCAAGATATAAACTTCTCTTTTCCTACAGTGAAACTGGGAACTCTTCCAAAACTACTTAAAATAAGACGTTACTATTCAATTATCTTGTGGGAAAATAGTGATTATGTAGAGCTCCAAAACATAGCTAATTTGCCCACCTCCAGTGGAATTCAAAATACTTTGTTTAGTTAGTAAACAGTATTTATGGTGGTGTTGGTAGTGTTAAACCCACAATTCAGAAGCTGTTATAAATATCTTTCTTTAGTCACTGAGTCTCTAAATTCTCCAAGTGTTTCTTAAATAGTAGGATTTTTTTTTAGATATTACTGTCAAAGGTGCTCTTAAAATAGTCAGGAAAGGGCCCTCCCTGGTGGTGTAGTGGGTAAGCGCATCACTAAGAAGCTAAAGCCACTTCAGCATGAGTTCGATCCCCAGCCCGGAGGTGACCCACTTGGTGTGGCAGACCTCTCCTGACCCGCCAGCTGCTCCCCTCAGCAGTGCACTTCATCAGTTGGCCTGTTTTACTCCCCACTGTTTCTGGTGAATGCTCTCACCACCCTCTGGACCTCTGGCCTGTACCCCAGTTCTGTATGCATAAATAATAATGCATAAAAATAATATGCATTAAAAAATAGTCACAAAAAACATGTTCTATTTGATTAAACAAATTTTTACTGAGATCTATGGAGATTCCATCTCACAGAACTCTGGAGTCTCCCCATATGCATAGTGTGCCCCAAACTTGTCTAGTACACATCCCGTGAGGCTGCCCATGTGGTGTCTGACTCAGTTCTAACACCGGCATAAACTTAAGTGAATAAATCAATAATGAAAAATTTCTCACCTGATTAAGTTTACATTCTAATGGGTGATTATAGAGAAAAAATTAATAAGTTAAGCACGTACTGGTGGTGGCTGGTACCCTGGTAGAAATATGAGTAGGAGAGAAGAGTGATTATGACAGGCTATTATGTCTTCACTAGAGTGGTCAGGGAAGGCCTCATTATGATGATGACTTTCAGCAAAGTAGGTAAGAAATAAAACAGAAGACTTGGGTGGATGAATAGTTCTAGCCATGGAAACAATAAGCCCTGTGGCTGGACCAGGTGCCTGAGGGGGAAGGGGTAAGAGATGGGTCAGGTTGGTAAAGGGGCCAGATCACATAGAGATTTGCATGGAATTGTAAGGACTTAGTTTTCCCTTTGAGTGATGTGAGAAAGCCAATGGAGGAGTTGGAGCAGCGTAATGACATGAGGTGACAGATTTTGAAGGCTGCTCTGTAGAAACTGACTGGCTTGGAACAGGTAAAGCCAGTGAAGCTCTGAGGAGATAGCGATCAACATCCAGCAAGAAGTTAAGGTTGGGGGGTGGAGAGGGGAG